TTAGGGTAACATCGATAGTGGATGGTTACTCGCAGAGAATGACAATTATTTCGAATCTTTTTTTGAACATTATCAATACACCGCTCTAACAAATTAACAATCAATAAATGAACATGTTTCTGAATGTCTTATAATGTAGATCGTTTTTAATTGTTTGATTAACAACACAATGAGCTATATACGATCATCTCTTCCAATTCAGTAATTGGCAGTTTCAGGTTAGCATTAGATTTAAAGGTTTACAAATATAGCGTGGACACCATGTACTGCACAACTAATTTTTTTAAAGTTACAATAATTAGGTCTATGATAAACATGTAGGTGCTGGGTCTATTCTAGGAATGTCTTTTCTAGTTTCATATTGATAGCAATCTTAACATAAAGATAAATCATTCGATTAATATTCCCATTTTTGGCCGTTTTTTTTCAATTGAAAACTGTATTATTTCGGGAAGGTATCATTAATATACACTAATTCAAATTTTAAAATGGGTAACGGATTAGTACATAGCTACGTATTATAGTTACAAGCCATTCTTGTACACTACGTTCCTGATAAGTTACCGACACAGTAAGTTTAAGCTCAACATAGTTTTATAATGCCTTATAATTTAACTGATTTGAAAGTTATTAATTAAAGAACTTGAAATCATTTGAACAAATAAAATGCTTTTTCAAAAGCCTTAGAAATTAAAGGCTTTGGCTACATGAAAATTCAGTATAATAATTTAGATTAACAAAAAAAAAACAAAAAAATCGACTACCGATCGAAATTTCGAATGCCATGGTACTTAATACCGTATCAGAAAATATTTTTTAGCCAATTAAATTAATACAAAAAAAATCAAGTGATTGCGTGCAGTCAACCAACAAAATTAAACAAATATAGATAAGAGGGATTATGAATTTTGCTATTTATAGTGTTTCTAAAGAATATACATTTAAAGAAATTTACATGTATGAATGACGCCGAGGGAACTCAGCCCTGATCAAAGATATACGTATATAATTTGTAAGAAAATTTAATTATGCATCGTATATATCCCTGATTACAGGATTAGGGCTGAGTCCAGTAATAAACCTGAAAGCCGATGTCTAGTTTTCCCTTGATGTCACTCGTAAATTTCCTAATGCCCCTTAACAAATTACCAAATCCATAGATACCCGCGAATCAATCTGTTTTGTGTTGTGATCATTGCATATGATTTCTAATACTGTAACAACGTTTGGGCGCCGGTTAAAATCCTGACAAGCACAATCCCGACAAAAAAATCCCGACAGTTAAAAATCCCGACAATTAAAAATCCCGAAGTCAAAATTTTCAAGTAGAAAATCCCAAATATGGGATATGTTTAGAGCGAAGTAGATTCTTATGATTTAATTAACTTTAGGGTTAGGTCACTTTAGATAAAGGTTAGACTAGGGTTATGATATTTGTTATCATTATTTTTAATTGTTGGGATTTTTTGCTGTCGGGATTTTTGCTGGATTTCACTTGTCGGGATTTTGACCCAAACCCACAACGTTTTAGATATTTACATTTACAGAGTTGAAACTATTGCAATGGTACAGAGTTGAAACTATTGCAATGGTACAGAGTTGAAACGATTGCAATGCTACAGAGTACGTGGTACAATATGTCATAAAATCATGTGACTGAGCCCGGAGTTGACATGCGCAATTCATAATTCAATTGGCTAAAAATTTGAAACGTTTGTACTACTAATTTAGAAAGAATATTCTGTAGTACAGAACTTTTGTACTATGAAATGCGTACCGTACGTACGTACGTACGTACGTACGTACACACGCCGCACAGTTAGTATAGGGGGTGCCAATCCTAGTTTAGAACAAAGAGGATATATGTGGCTTCATCTACGTACGTACGTACGTAGGTCTCTATCGTTAGCTTTTTATCTCAAAAGTTATATAGAAAACAACATATATAAGTACCAACGTACGTACGTACGTACGTACGTACGCAACTGATAAAGTTTAACATCTGTTTTTTTAAAAAAAATTTTTTTTGTAAATAGAAACTTTAATGAATCGTAATCAAATATAATTAAATTTACTCCAGGTTTCAGCCCTTTGATATATATATATTTTAGGATTGAGGCAGTTTTTTTTTTTTTCGGATTGAGAAAGTTCTTTTTTAGGATTAAGGCAATTTTTTTTTAGGATTAAAGCAGTTTTTTTTTTTTTAGGATTGAGTATTCAAGATAATAATGAGACTAACCGGGACTGAAAAAGATGTTAGTGCATCATTAAAATAAAGTTTTTAAGATACCTAATAACTGAACATTCTTTTTGTTTTTTAACTAGGTTAGCTCATAACTACAAAATAATGAATAAATTAAGGTTTTAATCAAGGTAAATACGTAGTATAACGGCGCATCTCCGCATTCAGTGCATTATTAATAGTGCATTATTAAATATCTTTTTTTAGTGGTCAACGTATTGTGCATCAAAAAATAGGTTAACTCCGATGAACGTATATTAAAGATTCCGTTAATCTGACAGTGCAACAAAATTAATTGTTCTTTAATAACCCAGATATATTAATGAAAATGTTTGACATACTTTATATAGCGATAAAAGAAAAGAAAAATCGATTAATTAATCACGTGTAAATTATGAAAAAAATGAAACCAATTAATTTTTTTTTGATTTGTTTCATGTTTACTGAAATGGAACCTAACATTTTATAGCTTTTCGATTGTTCACAAGTAACGTAACCTATGATAATCATTTATCGTTATCTGTTGTGTACGTATGCATGTACTTAATAGATCTACTTTGTAGCATATACATTATATTCACTATATTCACTATATACATTGAAAACGTTTCTTGTCAGCTTTTTAAAATACATTAAAGAAATTTATTAATTTATTAATTTATTAAATTAAACGAGTTAATAATATAAACACGTTTAGTTAATAACGATAATAAAGTTGGCGTAGTAATTTCTAATTTCCAGTATTGTAAACGCATATAACGATAAAGTAAAAGTCTTTCTTTACTTAATTTGCCCGAATAACTAATGTGGAAATCAAAATCGATACGTATACGTACGTATGACCAGATGAGGTATATAGATTGTGCATTATGACATTCTCATATGAATAAGGCCGAATCAACCAATAATCTCTTTTTAATATTTTTTAATAGGAAGAAGACTAATCTTTTTTTATTGGTCTATTTTGTTTGTTTTTATTATTTAAATTAACAAATCCCATTGTTACCGTTATGTACATGAATAAGTATGGCCGATAGCGATATGTAGTTACAGTCGTCTACGCCCGAATTCTACGTATACGAATTATACGCAAATTGTATGCATTAGATGTCATCTAATCTGCATAAAGCATAATATGGTTGAATTGTGTGTATCCAAGTTACGTAAATTGCACAATGTGAATATCCCCTGTTTGACTTTTTGACATTTTCAGCTTTTTTTTTTAAAAAAAAAAGTCTTAAATATTCTTATCTCGGTTTTATACTTTGAAATACCAAACAGGTATATACTCCTTTGTGTTCGGCTCTATTAAGTAACCAACCAACCAATCATTTTTTTTTTAGAATTTTATTCATTTAGAAATTAGGTTTTTTTACATGTCTATTTTTAGTAATGTAAGTTTTTCGCTTATACTTTGTTACTCTATTCTCGATGCTTGTTTCACCGACAGTGATACGCACGATGACTACTGTGTATATATTCAATGGTTGTTTATTATACATCGTAGGTAATCATGAATGATATTATATTTATATTGTTTTTTCATACTTATATATTGATTCTATTTTCGATTATTTTGTTTCAGGGTTCATACTTGATTCCTGTGAAAGGATCATCGTTGGCTACTGAATAAATTCCTAGAGTCGACGTGGTATTTCATCACAGCTAATCAGTATTCGGTTTCGTGTGTTTTTTTTCTGTATAAAATTCCATTTTCTCCTTTTAATTCCTTGGCGCCGGATTCGCCATTATTTTTTGATAATAATCCTCTTTCCCTCTACCGATATACTATATTATTATTATATATTCTTCGCATGATAAATCAATTTTATTTCTTTTAATGAAATCTCTTATCTTAGCTAGAGCTTTCCTACCGACGCAAACCGTGCCGATATCAAATCCTCCGTCGTTTAGTGATGAAAGAGTTCCTGGATCTGAAATAGTTATACCCTTCGGTATGGGTCTACTATTCTTAAGTGGTCTTTGTACATTATATGTGATCTTACGGACTATATCTCGATGGAAAACAATTAAAAGACCTTTATCAATGGCATTGAGAGTGCCATTTTATATTGCTTTGTCAGGTAACGTTATTATTACGGTGTGTATTCTTTTGATCTTTATCTTTTTCCTTTAAAAAAAACTAAATCTAACTTTCCATCACCTAAACACTATTAGATTTCTCTTTATTCTGCATACACGTTTTAAACCTGGTAAATAAAATATCCTTTAATATTTTATTACACTTTTTAAATATTTAAATATTTCATATTTTAATTTTCTAATATAATAATACATATCATATCAATAGGGATTCCCTTTATTTCAAGGCAGACCTTGGCCAGAAGATGATTGCCGATTAATTGGTGGCGCAACATTCTTCTTAGTATCATGTAACATGATTCTAGTAGGATCATTGGCCATGTTGACATTTTTAAGAATATGTAGAAAATGGTACATTGACTTGGGAAAATTTGATTATAAATTATTTGCGTTTCTTATATCACTATCTTTTGTCCTTACTATGGCTGGAATTCCAAGTTTTGGTTCTAGTAAATATTGGTAAGTTATTATCTTTCAACATAACTAAATATAATTTAGTTCGACGTAATTGAAATCTAACTCATCATAATTTCTCTTGTTAATTTCTTTGGTTAATTACAACAGGTGTTTCACAAAGAAAAATAGCATGATAATGCCAGTAATAACTTTGGCCTTAAACTTTATAATATTGGCAATTACCATATTCTGTTACGCTATGACATTAAGAGAAATAAATTCGATTCAATTAAAAAAAGGGCAAAAAGCAACAAGATTTGATACTGGTACTTCGAAACATAAAAAGGTTGAACCAATTGTGGTGAGAAAGATTATTGGCTATGTGCTTATTTTCATTATTCAATGGACCCCTTCTATGATTTATGTCTTTGGTCAAATAATTAATGTATGTTTAATTATATTCAAGTTTATTCGTATTTCACTTCTTATTTAACTCAATTTAATTTTAAATTAACTAACTAACTTTTTTTTTTTTTTATTAAAGTATGATGAAATGTGGATTTATTTAGTGACTGATGCGACTGTAAACCTAGGTGGAATAGGCAACATGATACAATATATAATAAACGAAGGATGGCGTAATGATCCAAATTCCGACATTAATGATGATGACTTGTCTATTGTAGTAGTTAATAATCCTTCTACAAATGATTTGAATTCTCCTTCTTCCGCTCCTACCATAAGTTTACCTCTTCATCATTCAAAAATAAAGGTTGATGAATTGATCACTATTAAAATTGACCCTAAACAACGTTCTATTACTCCTGATTCTCAGAGTGATTATTCTTCTTCTCCAACTATAGCTCCAAGCATTTCAAGTAAAGTTGATGCCTTAAAAAATCAACGAAAAGATGATGCATTAATGAAACAACAACGAGAAATTGTACAAAGAGACATATCTGCTTCTTCTTCTTCTCAAAGCGATCATAGCCATATTATGAATGAATTAGATAAAATCATCGTCAAACATAATGATGATGTTATAAGGCATGGTGGTATTATGGCCAGGCAAAATAGTACCACTTTAGACACTGAACAAAATTCTAAAATTTTTAGAAAAAGTAGTATGAAAAAAAATAAGAACAACAGAAATGATACCGTAAGTTGGCATAGATTCGGAAGTGGTCCAAGTAATCGTGCTTCAATAAGAGGATTATTACAAAGAGTTGAAACTTTTAGAAAAATTAAAGATCCTAAAAATACTAAAGCTCCTAAAGATACTAAAGATATTGATGACATTAAAGAAGTTGATGAAACTTCTCCCCCTGGTGGGAATGAGCCCTATTCTTATCTATAATCAATCAACTTTTAACTTTTCGTTTTAACTTTAGTATATGGGGAAAATTTATTAATTTATAATTATTTTTTGGGAAAGCTGGTTATTTTTTCATTGAATATTAGGATATAAACCATATACGATGTATATAACCCTTTTTATTATTAGTATATATTACTTCTTATATATTTATCTATCTATATATCTATATTATTATATTATTATTATTTTATTTCATACACTTCTGAAAATGTAAAACACAATTGGTAAATCGTAGATGTTTTTTTTAAAAAAAAAAAAAAAAAAAAAAGAATATGGCTAAAAATGATCAAAGAAGCAACGGAAAAAATCAGCAAAAGCGAACGACGGAAAACGTACAAATCGCAAATAATCGAAAGCCCGAAAGATCAAAGACCGATATACTGTATCAAAAGACCGAAATATAAAATGATCGAAAAATCGAAAGATCGAAAAGGCAAGCTCTGAAATAAAAATTCGAACACAATATTCGATATATAAATAACATTCTACATACTATCCGAATCCTCTTCCAACACGAACCACGTATGAACCGAACTTTCTATTAGAAAAAAATTTTTTTCCAACTAAAAATACGGCACTTCTTCGTGAAGATGCACATTGTACATTCTTTTCTTAAAAATTAAAAACTAATTAAAAAATTGAAAATGGAAAAATCAAAAAAAACTTGTAATTATATTGTTAATTCCATAATAGGATGGTGATTTGTAAAACTTTTTTTTTTTCACATGTAGTTTATTACATGATCGAAAAAAATATACTTTAATTTACATGTTCTAAAAAGGAAAAAAAAATTGTGTAATTGACTATTGTCGATGGCGGTAGGGATTTTTTAAACATCAAAACATTGCCTAGACTTTTAAATTTGAATAATACACGTGCAATTCAATCATAGATTCATAATCTACAGTTTATCTTAACTTTATATATACTTTGGAATCGACCATTCTATGCTTGACTTTTCCGATCATTTTTTAATCATGCTTAATCCATATTTGTAAAAGTATCAAACAAATAAATTATTTTAAATTAATTAAAATTTTTTTTAAAAACCCTGTTTCTCTGTACAACATTTTTTCATTATTATCAAATTCCCTTTCCCTCCAGGATAATCAAATATTCTATACGTTCGTTTTCAGTAAATAATTCTGAAGAATACTGATTATATAATTCTGTGAAGGATGTTAAGTTTACCAAAGAAAAACTCAAGTCTTGAAATTATTTTTGATGATGATACTTGTGTAATGCATGGGTTACCCGAGGAATCCGATGGTTGTAAATTAAAAGGAAAAGTAATATTGACTAATAATAAAAGATTAAAAATTAAAAGTTTTAGTTTTACTTTTATCGGAAAAACAAATGTAAATTGTGGTCCTTTTATTTCTTCTTCAAGACCTGAATGTATGTTGCTCTTTATTTAAATAATACCGTTATTAGTCTTAATAATGTTACTACAGTCTACCCTCATTATAACGGACTCCGTTATAGCGGATACTTCGTTTATAATGGAATAATTTTTTTCTATAATAATTTAAAATTTTTTTTTTATTATTATACTAAATAACGCTATAGCGGATACTCATTATAACAGACAAGATTTCTCAGCTCGATCACTACGTTATAACGAGGGTAGACTGCATATACAGTATTAATAATGTTATCGACGTTAATAATGTTAATAATATTATCATCATTACTAATTTAATAATTTTACTTATAATAATCAGATAATGAATCACAAACAATGTGTCGAAGAGAATGTTTATTTCCTTCACCTTCTCAAATCCTTCCTGGTATCCACGAATTTGAATTTGAAGTCGATCTCCCTGGTCATTTACCCGCTTCGTTTAAGGGAACACGTGGAAAAATTGAATATTGGTGTTATGTAACCATAGCACGTCCAATGTTTCATGCTGATATTTCAATAAAAAAACCTGTCATCATTCAACGTTCTTTAATACCTAATGATATATTAACATCTCCAACTGCTATACAAGGTCATTTAACAACTTTCACCGAAGGTATATTAGATGATAAAGTTCAATACTCTATTAATGCTCCAATAATGGCTTTTAGGGAAGGTGGGTTGGTTTCTGTACAATTAGTATTGAAACCATTAAATTCTGATATAATTGTGAAATCGGTCGAATACGGTTTAAAAGAACTTGTACATTATCATAAATCTGGAGCTGATGATGGAGTACATGATATAACTGCAACAATAAAAGAGGATAGATTTCCTCTTGGAAAAAAATCAATTACTTTAAATAATTCCCATTCTTCTTCGACTCCTCAAAATGATTCTGATCCGATTCAAATTGATTTTAGACTATGTCCACGAGTAAATTGTGATATTGGTAGTTTATTAATTAATGTTTCTCATCAACTTTCTTTCTTTATTGAAATCGAAATTTCTGAACACATTTCTTTTGAAGTTAATAATAGTATTTTAATTGATGATTCTAATTCTTATGAAATTGATCATTCTAATTTTGATGATAATTCAAATTCTGATATGGACGAATTAGAGTACATTGATCAATACATTAATAGATTTAGATTTTCTACTGCTTCTTGTCTTTCTAATGTTTCCTCTTATACTGACTCTGAGATTAGAAATTCTTATTCATTGAATGGACCTAGGACACAATCTTTACCGGCACCATCCATACAACCTCTTTCACGTTCGGCTCCATCAAATCATGATTTTAGTAATCCTTTTAATAATTTAACTCATTCTAATTCAAACTTTATACAATTACCTCATTCCGATTTAAACTTTATTCAACAACAATCACGAAATACTTCTACTATACCTTATCCTGATTTTAACTTTCAACAATCACGACATACTTCTACTACGACTTATCCTGACTTAAACTTTCGACAATCACAAAATTTTGAATATTCTGGTGTTCCAATTTTAAATAATTATAATAATCGTCATTATAGTCATTATAGTCATTATACTGAATCATTACAATCTGATGGATTCAATCATGCTATGATTCCAAAAACAATTATTTCCCATAAAAAGCAATTATCCCTTGAAATTCCATTAATCATAACCACAAAATCAAATTATAATTCTCATTCAAATAGAACTAGTATAAGATGTATGAGTTTGAGAAGTAATGCGGGAAATCATTTATCGGGTATTCATGATTTTGAAAGTTCCCCTCCTTATTCTATGTTTGAAGAACCTCCTTCTTATATGTATGCAACTTTAGTTCCTCCCCCACCACGATATAATGATAGTCAATGAATGTTATAATATTGGACATCCTTTTTATAATACTATATATACTTTTTTTTATTTTTAATAGTTATGTTTTTTTTTGCTTGTATGTATTTTATCGTTTTTATTTATTATAATTTTTTTATGTAATTATTTTTTTTTCTTACATAGTTATTCTTTATTTGTTATTATCAATCTATTGTAATAGATTGTTTCTTTTTTTCATTTTGGATGATTGGCGAAACTTTGTCTTTCGAATTTTTTAGTTAATTCTGTTAATTCTTAGTTTATTATGGAAAAACATTTGTTTTTTCAATTAGTCAGGATATTTTAGTAAAAGTTTAAAAAATTTCACAAAATTCTTTGTATCAATAACTTCCATAATAAATGTTTTATAAGATTTGTTAATTAGTTATAGTTGATTTTTAGTGGATTATTCAAGTATAATTTCTTAAAGTTAACTCTCGAATCTAGGGATAGCGTTCATCGCGCTTTGCAAATTATGCATCCCTAATTTTTTTTTAAATAATGATTATGATTCTGATTATGATTATAAAGTTGGTTCGATTTATCAATAAATCTGAGTTTAGTATTGGCTAGTACTGTACAGCGTGGTCTAAAATACCCAGGGTACTTTACAATTTAAGCTGTATGTATATATGGATATTATAGACGGAGGGATACTATGGTCAGCGTAGGGGGGTATAAGTTGCACTATATGAGTGCTTCAGTAATATTTTATCTTTACTACGCGGGTATTCTACATTCCCAAGTGCAATCAATCCGTTCTTAGTACCCGAGGTACTTTACATTCTAGGCCTCCGAACATTATCCGGATAATTATCAGATATCCGCTATTTGTTATCCGAAGTATCGGATCTGAATTTATCCATATGGGCGAAAATTTTTGATGGGAATATTGTAATCATTCAAATTAAGTGATGCAATAATAGAATTAATACGTATAACCAACAGGAGGAAGCGTCGATGTTACACGACTGATCCTTCATTCCGCTAGTACATGTTATGATTATAATCCTACACCATTTTTATTATAATAAAATGGTGTAGGATTAGTAATAATAATCCTCCCGTGATCTTGATATAGTGATCGGGGATTATAATCATAACATGTACTAGCGGAATGATCTGGCGGAATGATCTGGTATTGTAAAATAATTTTTTTATATGTTGCACACCGGGTGAAGGATCAGTCGTGTAACATCGAAGGTTCCTCCTGTTCGTATAACCACAAAATTTGTTGCACAACGTCAGTATGTCAAATTATTAATAAGCAAGGCAAGTATACAATTAACCAATCAAATACAAACAAAATGCTTATCATGTTTTAATAAACGGTTTCATGACGGTTTCATAAGCAATTTTATAACTCAGAAGACAATCAACCAATTATCAATCCATACAATTTTATTTTGAATACATATTTAATACCGGTAATTTCGCAGCATCACATAAATGGTTGGATCAAATTTTATGAATTATTATCGTTTATTGTTTTTTAATAATCATCAGAATCGACAAAATCCGTCCATACGTACAACGTTTTCATAAATTCTGGAAAATCTGGCAAAAATTGACAGACCGAATATTTGCCGATCCGATAAGCTTTTGATTCGATAGCAGTGATAATCTTTTGATTCGGATGTATACACACTTCGGGTCACATTACTTACATCATAATTCGTTCATATATGATCATACGATCGTTTGACTTTTATATTAATAATAAATTACCTCATATTTCATGCATACTGATTACCTGACTTCGATTGCATAATTGATCGTTACTCGATCCCTTAATCCTGATCGATCACTTACTTATCACATGCATCACGTGCACAAGATAATGATCGTTCGTTCATTTTACCTTCATTCCCATACAAGTTCATCGCATACTGTAAATCACCATGACACTACTGTATAACCTACTGGTAGGAAACTAACCCTAAACTAATAGCGAACCAATTTTTTTTAATAAGATTAAATCATGGGCGAAATTTTTAGGGTGATGATTATAGTTATTAGGCGAAACATAGAGGTTTCGCCAAAAAAAAACTAAAAAGACGAAATGGCGAAATTGGCGAAACCTGGCGAAACTAATGAAAGGTTGCGAACTAATAAAAGTAAAAATTACTTAAAGAAAGCTAACCTTTTATATAATGATTAATCACTTTGTTTCTTCTCATCTGCTTTTAAATTTAAATTGTTATATCAAAATTATATATACCAAAAATTATACAATTAAAATCATTTAATTAATATTTTGCATTATTATATTTGTTGTAATATGTAGTGTTATTAGGCAAACTTAAGAGTTTCGCCACAGACGAAAGGCGAAACTTGTTTTGACTTTCATCAAAAAAATTAAAATGGCAAAATGACGAAACTGGCGAAAGGTGACAGAAACCGGTGAAACTGACGAAATTGCTGAAAGGTGGTGTAACTAAAAAAGGTAGCAAAACTGATTAAAGATGACAAAATTAATAAAAGAAGAATAGAAAGGTAATTAAAGAAAATTAAAACTCTTTTATACGATTATCTATTTTTGAAACCAAAATTATATGTTTTGTTAAACCAATTATATCTTAGATTCAGAAAAAAAGTAACAATAGTAAAGACTGTATTCAAAAATAATAACCTACTCACAGATAACCAGATATAGATTTTAAAATATATACAATTATTACTTTAAGCATAGACTCCAACACTAATATTTAATTTTAATGAAATTTGATATACAACATGCGCATAATTATGCTATCATATACGATGCTTTTGATCAATAATCAAAATTTTACTATTATAAGTCAATAACATAACGATTATTTCCTTAAAGATTTAGACTAGATAAAATAAAGCATCGGGAAATAATTCCTAGCAATAATATTGTTAACGAACTGCTTACGTATATATAGCATTTAATTAAAGTTTCAACAATGAAATATTAAAGAAAAAAATTTTAACAATAAATTTATTTCGAATACAAACAAAAGGTTATCACTTTGTTTATTGCTTTGCACATTTGAGCTACATGCTGTGCTTAATAGAATATTTTGATTTATTGACATGGCTCAATCTTTTTAAAGTCTTTGTAGATTTGATATTCACTGAGTTCTGCCTTTTTCAAGGTGTTTCAACTTTATCAGAGTTCTGCAGTTTCGCCAGGTTTCACCAGTTTCGCCAGATCTTGCCAGTTTTACCAGTTTCACCAGGTTTCACCAGTTTTGCTGGAAAATTTTATCTTTCATCTTTTACCGGATTTAGGTTTCGTCTTTTGTTATTTTCCAAAATGGGTTAATCTAACAACATTAGTGATGATGCTAGACTTATAAAAATGATTATTGAATTGCTATACCCCATATGAAAATTGATTTAAGGCATAGTTATTAACCTCAATCTACATCTCAAAGACTGGGTAACAAACAACTAAGACGGTGTGCAGTAATACAGGGCAACTCTGTAATATGTAATAATTGAATAAATAAATAAATAAGAGTATGATATAGTGATTAGGCTATACTCAAATAAGTGTTTAGATATTGTATATATCTATTTAATGAATAAAAGTCTCATGACCAAGATGCTTACAAAGTAAAATGAGAGACACCCTTTAT